ACTGTGAGATCATGACCTGAACCGTAGTCAGACACTTAGCCAACTGAGCCACCCAGGTGCCCCACCATGGTGGAAAGATAAATGGACAGCTCTTCAGAGAACCAACAATATTCAGTCAGGTTAAAACCATGAGCAATAAAAGAATAAGCATACACGCGTGCGCACGCGCGCACACACACACACACACACACACACACACACACACACACACAAGCTGAGCTTCCAGAAACTTCTGATCTTCCAAAAACCAAAGGTAACACTGGGGCCTTTGAGGTTCAGGCATTCTACACAAGACTGTTGAGGTCAGGAAAGAGCCATCAAGGAAATGTTCAATGGAACCATGATCAACATGAACAGCAATACACCTTCTTTGCCAAATGGATCTGGCATAGAATCTGAGCCTTGCCTGAGTAATCCAGCTGTCATAAAGCTGACCTTTCAATGCATTCTTAGTTCCATTGTGGAATTAGCCATCATTTTTGCTTGTCATACACGGTATTAAGTTTTATTTACAAGATTTATAGACATTGATATAACCTTGTAATTAACTCCACCATGAAAGAACAGCATGCCATGGAAATAGTATGAGTTCAATCAATTCTTTTTTCTGATAGTCTGCTATTTTTATCCTTAGTTTGAAAAGCCTTGATTTTCTATTTCTGTTTTTTTTTTACTAGTTTATTTTATGTGTCTTGTTTTACACTCCATGAATCAAGGCAAAGTCAAATAAACCAAGGGAAAAAGATGGTCAGATAGATGGACAGATGTATACTGCTTGGTAAACGGTTGATTTATGCACTGGACTATAGGAAACACCAACCTACAGTTAAAGAATGTCCGAATGTATGTTCCTCTATGAACACACACATATATGCGCAAATAAATTACATATACTGTCTGTAGGAATACTTACATAGCATGCTTACATAACAACTGAGTTAACAAAAGCCAGTATTCATTATGTGCTTGCGGTCTTCAGCATTTAACGCAAAGGCACTCTATATGGCATTATTTTAATCTATCCACAAAGCAATGTATAAAATAGTTGCTATTGTATTATCTCCATTTTAGCTTAAAATGAAACAAGAGACATACCAAGGATAAGTAACTTGCCCTACATTATGAAGGTGGTGAATCTCCAAGCCAGGATTTGAACTTGGCTTCTCTGATTCTCTATGTACACTTCAGGATATGTGCAAAATTATTCATTGGTTTATGGGGAGGTAATAGTAAGACTTATTCAGGTCTTTAAAATGTGAAAAAAATTAGTCTTTACTAGGACTTAACGTGCTGGCTGATGCTGGAACCTCTCATACCCTGGTGTGTGTGTGGGATATATCATGTTATGACCTGCAAAGAGGGTGTCTTGAGGGGACAGTGGGAGTCCTAAAATGCAGACTCTTAGAGAGTCTCTGTTGAGCAAGGTTCAAAACAATCCAGTTTGTTTCTTACAAAATAAAACAAAAATTCTGTAATAACATTTGAAAGCCTCTTTTCATCTAATATAAGGAACACTTATAATCTGAGTTCACAGTTAAAAAAAAGGCTGAAATAATACATGACAATATTGTGACAAACTGAATTGTAGTTTGTAATAAGCACTTTTGAAGATATGTATTAAAACATTGTTGAAGACATAAAGAAACAAGTACTGAAATGAATTATACAGCATAGGAAGTTTACTACACAGTTGAAAGTCATTATGGTTGTTTGTAACTTGTCTCAGCTTTTGGTTACTTGCTACTTCTCTTTTTTCCTGGTTTCCAAAGCTCATTAAAAGTCAAAGAATAGGAAAACTTTACATAAAAATAGGTTAATTTTAGCTTCCACATTATTGTCCGTGCACACAAAAAAATTGAAAGACAATATCGTTTAGTTCAACCTGTAATGTGTGACCACACTGGTGGCCCAGTCAAATTCATTCAGTTCACTGTTATGGGGGTGGGGCGTGGTGCCCAAGTCTGTGAATCCAGCTTTAAAACTCACATCCCACACAGGACGCTAGCCCTCCAGTGGTTCCTTATTGTAGGTAACAGTCAATATTGCTAATGTGTGGAGATTAGTACAGGCCTATGTATCAGTTTTTATAAATATCTCGTTATCAATAGGTTTGCAATTCAAATATCTTTAGATATTTTTGATAACTTTCAATCATCAAGAACTGCAGACAATGTGTGTTACTCTATTCTGGATACATTGTCTTTTTTTTTTTTTAATTTTTTTTTAACGTTTATTTATTTTTGAGACAGAGAGAGACAGAGCATGAACAGGGGAGGAGCAGAGAGAGAGGGAGACACAGAATCTGAAACAGGCTCCAGGCTCTGAGCTGTCAGCACAGAGCCCGACGCGGGGCTCGATCTCACGGACCGCGAGATCATGACCTGAGCCGAAGTTGGACTCTTAACCGACTGAGCCACCCAGGCGCCCCTGTCTTTTAATAACAAAATCCACAAATATGTAGCTTTCTCCTTCTTGCTGTTAAACATTGAAAGAGGTGTTAGGGAAGGTAAGTTCTTGGTAGTGAGTGGCATTTAAAAAAAGAAAAGCAAGGTTTTAAGGAGAATTATGTTTAAATAACAGGTGATGAGGTAGATACACTCACAAAAATTATTTAAAAGGGTTCCAAAGAAAAAATCCAAAGTAGCAAGAATTACGAGAAAAGCCTAGAACAACTTGTCATGCTAGAAAGCCTGGCTAATGTGTACGAGGGGAGTGATTGCACTTTTTTTTTTTTATTTTGTATGTTTGAAATTTCCTACAATTAAAATGCTTTAAAATTTAAAGCTACATGAGAAGTAAACTAACTTTTAGAAGTGCCTTGAGTATGAAGAGAAAACATGAAAATGGATATTCCATGCTACATGGTTTTGTGAAGGAGGAGAGTTTATCAGTACAAAATTATCCCATGAAAAATAGAATCTTTCAATCTGAAAATAAATATTTCACTAACTTTTGAATGCTTTTGTTAAAAATATAAAAGTCCAAAACCTTTCAGTGAGTTTTCCTTAATATACTGATACATGCATTATGTGAATCTTAATTAATAAACATTGCATTATTGGCAAATACAGTCAAAAAATGAGTATCATAATTTACAAAGTCAACAATGCAATCGGCTTCTTCTATTTGGAAATGTGAAATACTTTTGAGTTATATTTTTCAGCTTTGATCAAAAAACCATTTAAACTAAGTACTGAAATAAGTTAATAACTTAAAATCTGACCACTGAATCAAGCTATCACAATTTCAAACCACAATTTTCAAAATCAGTGAAGCATATTTACTCACATTGCAATGATTTTATACACACACACACACACACACACACACACACATATATATATATGAATGAGGTATAGACCCCTATCTCATTCCATATATAAAAAATAATTCAAAATGTTATCAATGGCCTAAGCATTAAAGCTAAGCTATTAGAAGAAAACATGGGAGTCATTCTTCAGGACCTTGGTTTTGACAATGGATTCCTACCTTTGACACCAAAAGCACAAACAACAAAAGAAAAAATAGATAAAATGGATTTCTTCAAAATTAAAAACTTTTATGTATTGAAGGATATTATCATGAAAGTAAAAATACAACCCACAGAATAGGAAAAATGTTTGCAAGTTGTATATTTGATAAATGTCTATTATCCAGAACACATAAAGAACTCTTACCAGTCAGCAACAAGACAAACAACCCAATCAAAAAATGGGCTTGGATATTCTCCAAACAGAAACACAAATGGTCAACAAGCATACAATGAGGTACCACTCCAAATTTAATAGTATGGCTATTAAAAACAAAACAGGAAAATAACAAGTGTGGGAGAGGATGTAAAGAAACAAAAACCTTTGTAAGTTACTGGTAGGAATGCAAAATGGTGCAGCAGCTATGGAAGATAGTTTGGTAGTTCTTCAAAAGATTAAATATAGAATTAGCATATGACCTAGCAATTGCACTCCTGGGTATACATCCAAGAGAAATGAAAACATATATGCACACAGGAACAAATACACAAATGTTTTTGGCAGCATTATTCAGAATAGCCAAAAGGTGAAAACAACACAAATGTCCATCAGCAAAGAAATGGATAAACAGATTGTGGTATGTCCATATAATGGAATATTAATCAGTCACAAAAAGGAATGAAGATACATGCCACAAGTTGGATGAACTTCAAAAACATTATGGTAAGTGAAACAAGGAAGACACAAAAGGTTACATATTGCATGATTCCTTTTATATGAAGTATCTAGAATTGGTAAATCCACAGAGGAAGATAGTGGTTGCCAAGAGACAGAGGTGAGGGGAAATTGGGAACGCTTACTTAATGAATGCGGGGTATTTTCCTGGGATAATAAAAAAATTTTGAAACTAGAGATGGGTGATAGTCATCACATCACATTGTGAAAACATGAAATGCCACTGAACTGGACACTTGAAAATAGTTAACTGTATGTTATGTGAATTTCACCTCAATAAAAAAAATACATGTAACAACAGTAATATAAGTAAAGAATGTTCTTCAATGTTGAAAGATAAAAAAACTGAAAATATTAAATATTTCAGCTTTATCTCATTCTTCAAAATCCTTCAAAATATATGTTCTTTCATATATATGCGTATGTGCTCAAAATTTTTAGCAATAAGGGTATACAATTTGAAAACGTGGATAGGGCTGCTCTAGATCCATGGTAATCTGTCACTTGTAGGGTGAATCCATAGACATACTTTGTGCACCTCGGCTGAATAATATTTTAAGATTTATCTTCCATACTTTTATGCAGGTGATGCATTTTCAACATAACTCCTGCATACCTTCGTATTTTATATTTTTGTGATGCAAACACTGTTTCTTGCTCAGCAGGGATCAAATAGATATTTGAATTTTTAACCCCTCGGCGGGGGATTGAGTATCCCTAAGATAGTCTTGCATCAATAGTTCTTCCGTTATTAATTAGCATTAAAAATGGAGAAGAAAAAAGTACTAGACTTACCCACACACGGCAGAGAGTAGCCCAGCTGAGGGTCATGGGTAAACTGCCTGTCGTTAAGTCTTGTCACACAGTATAAGTAGAAACAGTCTAAGCAAATCACGTGACGATGGTTGCACTGGAAAACCAGCACAGGGCTCCTGCACAGAAAAATAAAAAAAGAAAAGGAAAACATTTCCTCTAGAACTTCTAAGAGTCGAAAGGCAACATGTGCTTTGGGACACTTTGTAACCCTATCAGCTTGCTTAGAAAATGCTCTGTGTAGACACCTGTACTGCTCACCATTGAGCACATATGTGTCAAAGCTGTGCCTTAAAAATTGGAAACATTTCATTAACTATACATAACATTGATTTTCCTAAATTTATATTTTTATATTAACATATTTACCAAACTGTTGTTTAAATCTGAGCTCAGATATAACCTCTTTCTAGATCATCTTCTAGAAGCCTCATAATTCCCAATTCACCCATGAATCACCCCATTTATACATTTTTCTTATTGATACAAAATTACATCATACTATTGATATGCTTCTCTACCGACTGTGATCTCCTTGAAAGTAGATACTGTGCTTAATTTAAATTGATATTCTCATAGTACCAGGCACCGTAAGGTTTAAATAAACGTTCCTTGAATTGTATGTTAATGATATATAAAATCTGAACTTCCCAAAAGCCAAAAGAAAAATGACCATGGTGCCAAAGTAGGTATGCTAAACAATCACTCATATTTCATTGGCAAGCAGAAAAGTAGAATTTCAAAATAAAAATTATCTAGCACAGATTCTTTTCTAAAAGATTTAGTCTATCGTGCCATCCCTACTCCACCCAAACAGCCACTTTATTAAATCAAGGTTAGGAGCTTACTAATAAATTGATATATGAGTTCTAAAATCTTTGGATTCCCTTAAAATGCTTTATAGGGGAAAAATGCCCCCAATAAGCATGTATTTTTGCTAACAAAATGAACCACATTATGTTATAACCAAAAGAAAAAAGAGAGAGAGAGAGAGAGAGAGAGAGAGAGAGAGAGAGAGAGAGACAAATTGAATTAATTTCACATCAGCCCCAAGGCCATTTTAATAGTAAAAAAACAAACAAACAAACAAAAAACAACACTGGAGTTTATCTAGATAAGCCTATTCTCTGTGTAATGACAACAAAATACAAATTTTTTTTTATTTCATACACAATTCTTAAAAGACCTCAGAGCTCTTCAAAAGCCCTTTCCCCAGAAAAATTGATATTAAACATTAATATTAGTAACATGTAATTTTCTTAACAATTAAAAGGTTTTCAAAATTCTGCTTTCCCACTTATTTCAAAGCAATATCTAATACAAAACAAAAAAAAATAACTTGGTATTTTAATGTCATGGATCAACAGGGCAATGGTCATCATAAGCTGGGCAAGGGCGTCCCTAAATGCTTTTATGTGCTTCTATTTCTCATCTCTGAACCTACTGCAGTCCTTTTGGGGCTATCATTTCCATTTCCAGAGCCTTTTTCAATTAGGCATTGACTGTGTTCTGAACTTTCAACCTCTTCCCTTCTAATAATATTCTGCTGGAAGATGATAAAATATAATACCTTCTCATTTCTATCACGAGTCAGACATACACACATGCACAAGGGCACACACACCATATTCACTCTGTGTGACCCTATAGAACTGCCGTGTTCTATGTTCTCCTCATGGCTAAGTTCTATGAAAAATATTCTCCATTCTGGTCTTAGCAACATGGTCGACTAAGCCTTTAGAGACGCTCAATCTGCTCTCAACACATGGAAGCACTGGAGAAAATATTAGAACATTCATAAAAATGTTCCTCTATATAACAAGGTTAAGAAAGAAAGCTTAGCAATTACCCGGTAGAAGAAATAAAAGGAAAACTTATAAAGCCAAAGCAGTAGGAACATGAACTGTTGGCATAGTGTCCCAGAGCAACATTAAGGTACGTGGTAGCCCCTGGTCCAGGAAGTGAGTTCTTTTCCATCCCTATTAAGGAAAAATGGAGAGAGTTTTGTTCCATGTGTGGACAACATATTTATGGATTTGCCCTTCCGTTAAAATATGGCCCCAAACTACTTAGACTGTGTGGACAATCCACAGAACATCAGCTGTTCTACTTTACTGATGGCATCCTACCATTTGGAACAGATTGGAAAGGAATAGCGAATACATGAGAGGCCATGCTGTGAGGTAAACCCTGTGCAGATTCAAGAGCCCACCATACTAGGAAAGGTTTTAGAGGCCCAATGTTTGGGGCACGGAGGGCACACTCAACAGACACAGTAGTGCATCTTGCCCCTCCCTCTACTACTGCAACCACACACACACACACACACACACACACACACACACAGATACAGCAGTACAAGGACAATCACAGGCCCTGTGGAAACATAGGCTCTAGGCCCCACAGAGTGAAACACATCGTCTTGGGGACATAGGAGGAATCTTACTAAAAATTACAGTTCACTTCTGCCTTCTTGAATTGAGATATAGGCGGGGAGCCGAACAGACCAAACCGACAGGACTAATTGATCAGCACCATCAGGATGCAAAGGGCTGGGGAAGAGTTCATAGGGTATCTGGGGGATCCACTGGTACATTTCATGGCACTGCCCTCTGGAATTGTAGCGGCAAATGGACAAGGCAGCAGTTAAGGCAGCATTGAGAAGTGCATGGTGACCGGGACCTGAGAGACCTTAGGATTTACCTGTTGAAGCAGGTAAGGTCAATAACCTTTATTATTACAAAACATATAATAGAGTCATCAGAAAGGGCTTTAGAGAATGTTTACCTTGAATAAAAAGTATGAGAAATGAATGCAGGTAGCAGTAGTTTACCAAACAGTGAGAAGTAAAGGAAACAAGATATAAAAATGTGTTCAGCTTTGGAAGTGAGGACAGATCACTAAAGTTCATTAAGGAGAATCCCTTCCCAGGCACAGGGTGTATATATAAGTGACACCAGAACCTACATGTGTGGTTTTACATGTCCATTTTGGACAAAAAGAAAAAAAAAAGAAAGAAACTTACAAGAGTTTCAGGGAGTGACAAGTATAGAGAAGTCACTCAGGCATTCTGTCACTATCCATTTGGAGTGAATATATATATATATATATATATATATATAGAGAGAGAGAGAGAGAGAGAGAGAGAGAGAGAGAGAGAAATATAGAATATATTTATATATATTCTATATATCTATATAATGTCTATATAATATATATATCTAATATATATCTATATAATATATATAGAGAGAAATATAGAATGAACATGTAGAAAAAATACATATGTTGATGAATAATGTTATAGATATAGATGTAGATAGTATATGCCCATATTCATGCAGAATTATCAGTCAGTTGGAGTTCTTGATACAGTTTTGAGGTAAGATTGTCCATCCCTTATCAATAATATTTCTAGTTATAAAAAAAGAAATTTCTAGTATCTATGAAAAAGTTAGGTGAGGAATAAGCATGCCACCCATAGAAACATTATTGGATTAATCATCTGAGTCATCTAAGAAAAGAAGTGAGGATCATTTCATGGCTGGAGGGACTACATAATTAACTTCCTAAGTATGAGGCAAAAGAGGACAGTGGGAAAAAAAAAAACACTAGTATTTATGACCACCCCCTTTGGGTTAGGTACTTGCTAGGAACTTCTCAAACGTTTTTCCATGTCCTCCACCTATAATAATCTGCCCCCACTCTATCACACATCCTGTTCCTCTCTCTGCCTCCAGCTTTCTTCCAGGTCTTTTACTCCTGGGCTCGTGCTCTGTGTCACTCATTCTTCTAGTATAATACTAGCCTTTATATTCAAATCAAAATTCCAAACTTCAAGGTGCAGTTCAAGATGAGACCGCTAAGGAACTTTTCCTGGAGCTTAATTCTTCACTGATTTTTCTCTTTTTAACTTTTAATCCACAGGGTCTATCCTAATGTGCTTCCTACACTGTCTTCACTTTTATTCAGACTGAGTGTTTCATAAGTTGCTACTTTAGCTGTCAGCATTAAATGAAAAATCCTGAAACAGTGGGGGCTGAACTTGATTACCACCTTCATGACCCATGTCTCACCAAATACAGCAATAAGCACATGACATTATATAATCAATAGTTACTGATCATACCTGTGGCTTACTGAACAAAATGTTTTTTATTTCATAATCTCTCTGCTCCCATCCTTATATTTTTTACTCAGTTACTTACTGAGCATCTACTTTGGCTGAAGTAGACACTCAATAAACACACACGGAATACAGCAGTGAGTGGATGAAAAAACATCTCATGACTGATGGAAGCGTTGGGAAAAACACACACAACTCAGTCACAGGCCACAGTCTGGGGACATGACACACATGTGGAACAGGTATTAAAAGGATGTATGTGTGGTCATCAAACTCTGGTGCCACAGAAGTTAGGACAGCAGAGAAGTATGCGTCAGGGTTAGGAAACCTGAGCTGAGTTTAAAAGAATGGGGGATCAGCACTGGGTCCCTGGAGAGAAATGTGGTTTCTGGGCAGGGCAGCAAACAGACGTGGGAAAGAATCTTGGAACAGAAAAGTTATCAGCTGGGCTGACTGAGGGGATGTATCAGGACAAGAGAAAAGAGATGAGAAGGGTTGGGGACAGGGGTAGGAGGACTTCAGGAGACTGGCCTACTGTGTGGTCTCTTGCTCATGGGATTCACTGAGGCTTGTGAGTCTCGGAAGGGAGAGATGTTTTCATATGTTTAATTCTGAGGGAATGTGTGGAGGAGAACAAGTTGGAAGTCGTGAGAACTATTTGGAGGTCATTTTAATAACACAGGCATGAGTTACTAAGGAAGCAGACTGTGGTGTGCGGGCGGTTCTAGGAATGGAAAGAAGAAGATGGACAGGAGTGATTTTTCTGAGGAGAACCTGCCAAGACTTATCTCCTATTGGGTCTTTGTTCCTCCCAACATTCCTCTGTGCCCTTTGCTCAAATTATATATAAATGTTAATTGATCAATCTAAAAGATGATTTTACCCCCGTGGACCAGGCTACAGAGCAGTTAATCAAAGGTTAGATAAAGTTCTCAATCCCACGTAAAAGGGATTATAAATGCTGTACTTGACATTACTGAAGAGTTATTATTT